ATTTCCATTTTTGTCCAATGGCGCTTTACAAATTACAATTAAACACTAAAAATACCTTCTCGGTGTCATAGTAACCGATGCGCATGCTCAAGTCACCAAACGCCCAGGCGATATACCGGTTATAATTGGGAGGAATAAGAACCTGTTGATAAGTGATATAGAGATCAGAGATAACATACRAGCATTACCAAGAAAGTCAAAAGTCATGGCGGCCATGTTGGTGGTATCAACAATGGATGCTAATATGAGAAGTCTTTTTGTTAAGTACTACCAACATAGCCAACATGAAGTAACGTATTAACGAAGAATATCTAAACTTGACAGAATATAATACTCAAGAAAAAAGTAGTGGACCTTGCCTGGTGTCCGCTTAACAGAGATTTCTTTTTACAGTGAATGTGAGAAGAACATTTCAGCATCTTGCAACTAGCTGTTCATTAATTAAATTAGCTTAATAGTGGTATAGAGATCATTATAAATCCTTTTATTTAAGTGTCTAGTCGTTCTAGCGCATTCTCACTAATTGGAGAAAATTCATTGTCATACACAACCACTGCGTTCAATGTTCTATGCACGCAAAGCTTTTCTCACATGTTGATTGTTACGGAGGGAGGAAACCGGAAAAGACCCTCGTAGCATAGAAGAGAAAGAACACATYAAACAAACTCAATCCACATATTATGGTGTCCACACCTTGTTTTTCTCTACAGCCAGTATTCCTCTCTCTGATTGGTAGATCACGCCAACGGGAGCCTTCAGTTCTGAAAACATATCCAAGAATAACTAAGGATAACTAATAAGCTTTAAACTTTGTAAATTTCCTGTTTTTAAGGGGGAGAGGAGTGGAGCAAGGGGAAGGGGGCAAGGGGAAGGAAGCAAGGGGAAGGAGGCGAGGGGAAGGAGGCAAGGGGTAGGGGGCAAGGGGTAGTGCCGCAAKGGGGTATTAGGTACCTACAGTCCCCTGGGTACATGCCCTGCTTACCTTTGACAGGCTGAGCTGATGGTACGAGGTTTGGTAAGTTATGGAAGAACAGCCGGTCAACATTGATRACACTWGTCAATCCTGTTTGTAGATCCGGTTCAACAGCACGAAAAACTTTTTTCTGTGGATGTGGCTTTCTGAACAACTGCAAAGATAAAACACAAAATACGCTTACTATAAAATACTTGTGTTCTTCATGCACCCAAGAAAATAGCTGGAGAGAAGTTTTGTATCATTATTTGTCATCATACACACCGAATCGAAATAT